GAGGTCTGCTTCGACAGTCTTTGTCCGTATTCTCTTTACCGCTTGCAGCCGTCGTAGTTTCAGCAAAGTCAACCTGCTTGATAAGCCCCCCCACGTCATCGGATGGACTAACCAGCCGTTGCTATGCCTGCGAATTGAGTTCGGCCTTTTGGGCGCATCGGTAAACCAATTATTCATGCCACTATTGTGACTTCCTCCTTGCATATTCTCGTTGAAAAACAACTACTGTATTGGCTTAAGTTTTCCTTTGATACTGTTGGCCCTGTCTAAACTGATTAGCGTCTGGTGCGTAACCCATAGCAGGCGAGATGCGGGTGAATTGTTCGGTTTGGCGTGGTAGTCGTGGACAACCTTTGAGCACCAATCTTATGGACTCGACCAATGTCTCTTGTTTTCTAACAGGCAAAATTGTGCACAGCTCCAGGAGACTGGTAGTGTACACCTACTTGACTTTATTCTCCATTTGTTCCGCTATGCTCATGACGCATTTTTCCAACCCATTACGTTTCTGTTTGGTTAATAATTAAATAACGACCGACACTGTCAGTAGATTAGTCATCATATATTCCAATGTAACTGAATGTGTTTTTCTCATCTATTACTACGCATAGCCTTGTAATGTTAGGTCCATAATTGTCATAATTGTTTTAGCTTGAAACTCGACTGCTGCTCATCACCCTCCAGGAAGATGAGTGTGGAGCAAATATATGGCTTACTGAGCCGAAAATTCCCCTGTGGAAACTTTGATGAGAGGACATATAATCGAACACAGCGCCTCGAGGAGTTAGAACTTATACGTGGGACTTACAATAACAGGATAACCATGGACTCTCGCGGTGACATAATCTCCGCCGAGTTCGTGGCCTTGCCGCACTGTCCCGAGGGAGTTTATGTTGTTGGAACTGGACTCCACCGCGGGCTACAGTATCCGGAAATATGTGTTTCACATGATGCCAACGGTCGCTTCACCTACCTCCTACATAGACTACCTCCAATCTTCCTTCGCTTCTATCTCGGAGAATCCTACCCTACGGATCCGAACTTTAGTTTCACACTGGAGTCTATTTGGTTATCCTCAATGTTCATGGAGTTGGTCTCTGCTCGACTGACAGAAGAGATGGGCACGTTTAATGGAGATTTCGTTGTGAAGCACTGCTGCGAATTTCTCGAAAACCAGGTTATTGATTATCTGTTTAAGAGCTCTCCAGGCACGCCTCTTCGCATCAACTTATTCGAGCTGGAACCGGACGAAGCTTGTGCCGCCGCCGCCG